GTTCGCATCGACCTAGCCACAGAGCTGACTTACCCTATATGACATTACATATAGAATGTTGAATTAAGAATTGATGTTATAGCAATCAGGATACTCCCATAGGTGCTCCGTCCCCCATCTTCAGCAGCAAGAGAAGAGTTCAACTTCCCATAGTACCAGTAACTATCTGATTGTATTTTCATGTTGTCCTTCCTCGCAGCATTATTCTCCTCAAACAGTAATGATCTATTTGTGCCTCCGCACTGCTCACTCACTCCCAAAGGATTTTCACAACATCTACTTTGTCATTTATCAATTCACCACCACGTGGTGCAGAACCAGCCAGTCTATCTGTCTGCTCGTTTTCCAACACACTGCCCGACCTGGTAATTACAGCCTTGGATATTCCATCCATCCATTGCTTACGTCTACCTCTGCTTCAATTATGTTTAAGTCACAGATCTCTATGTGGTGTACTATCCGGGGGTAGTCTGAACACATGTCCACACCATTTACTCTGTTGTCTCTTGATGTAGTTTAGTATTGGTTTCCATCCCAACTTCTTTCCTAATATTGTCAATGTTGATCTTGTCACACTTCTAACTACATTTAAGATATGTCGTAGATATTTCCTTTCAGTTCCAATTTTTCATTCCTTTTTTATAAATAGTTCACTATTTGATAACTGAAGTCATCACTTCAGTCTCATTGTTGGCTTGACATAATAAGCATGTTTCAGTGAATCACTGTCAAGTCAAACTGACAATAGAGAGCAGACCTGGTACCACAAACCTCAAAAAATAAAAAGCAGAATTTGAGAGTTTGAAATTACATATTAAGTTAAAATATAAGAATACAGCGTTACACTGAAATGTTGCCAATTATTACAATAACAATTAATTATTTTGTAAAAATATGCATAATTACTTTCATAATTGTTGTGTGCATGGTTGCTTCAAAGAAACATTTTAATGAAAGCTTAATAAAATACACACAAACTTTTTTCATATATCAGTTCCACACTAAAGGACAATAATATTTTAAATAAAGCAAAAGCTTAAGCATAATTCATTTGAACAGTACACATAATATACTTGGCTAGTGCTCTCATTACTTAACGCACTAATATTTACTATACATGAGACTAATACTGAAAAGGGCCAATAAGCTGACAGGCATATTATAGTTTAACTGAAATAAAAGAAGCGTAACTAGGAGTATTTAAAAGCTGTGAAACTGAAATTATCAGTGTACATAAAGATTTATATATATATATATATAAATGAAATGGATACTCATTGCCGGTATGAATTATGTGAAAAGAGAAAAGATGTATGCCAACATTTGTGGGAAAAGTGATAAACACAGTATTTGTTAGGAATTGAGATTACAGATTAAAATGATAAAAATAAGAGAAATTTTATTACAAAATGAAAAATCTATTAAAAACTGCAAATAATAATAGCAGACTTTATGCATTATATAATTGCTATGATTACTATTTACTCAAGCTCATAAAAGACATTTTTGGATTCTACAAATTAGTTTTGCATCATTTACAAAATGTTGCAGAACCAGCCTCAGTATTTCTGGCCATTTGCTGGTACGAGGCAATTTTACATTCAGTATTTTGCCATTGCTGTTGAACAGTCGGTACTTCATTCCATTGTCAAAATCAGTGCAAAGTGGTACACTACAAAATTGTGTGTAGTCATTATCTAACCAGGTATTTTGGAATCACAATGTGCATTCACAACACCTAAGCCACAGGCAAAGAGAACGAACTGTAATTTTCCTGGAGTTAAAGACATTATAATTGTGTGATAGTCTAAGCTGTAATCCTTCTTCTTAAAGTAAATGCAGTGCCAAAGAATAATCAAATCTGACACAGACGATTTCCTATAGACAAGTCTTCCTCTGTCTGCCTAAAATCTATTCTGCCATGAAAAGTACAAAATTATGAATAGCAACTAAAAAAAAAAATTTAATGAACGATAACATTTATTGTCTGATGCCAGCACAGAACATATTTAGACAGAATCAGAGCTTGGAGAGATATTAAACAAATTCCATTGTGTGTGTGTGCATACATGTGCGTGCACAAGTGTGTGTGGATGTATATGTTTGTGTGTGTGTGTGTGTGTGAGGGAGTGTGCGTGCACGAATGTGTAGGGATGTATATGTTTGTGTGTGTGTGTGTGTGTGAGGGAGTGTGTGTGCACGAGTGTGTGTGGATGTATATGTTTGTGTGTGTAAGTGTGTGTGTGGGAGGGGCCACTTGCTGAAACACAATGTGTTGAGGTGAGAAGCATGGATAACCATGACATTCACTTCAGGACAACATATTCTAAGCCCAAATAAATGCATAAATGACAAAAACAAACTTAGTAACATAAAATAATCACTAATTAGCTGACGCTTATGAAATACTTGTTAGAGGGGGGTAGGTCTATAACCCCCTCACTCCCCCCCCCCCACACACACACACACACACATAATGTGGCACCATATCCCACATGGGGAGTTTCTGGTTTTTTTTAACGCAGAGGACATTTGATGCCAGACTCGTATTTTGTATTTACCAGTCAGCACTTCGTGGGTGAAATTGTCAACTTGTCCACATCCCACTGGCCACATTTTGTTATAGGATATAACCTAGTACCCATTTAAGGCTGGGTCAACCTGGGGGCCAGGGTCAGTACTGAACATGTGGATTTGAACCCCATGAACTTTGGGTCAGCAGACCAGAAATTTAGCCATCGCGGCTCCCTACCCAACTATGTAATCCTTTTAAGTGGCTTTTCAGTTATGTAGCAAATGAATGAAACGCAGAGGAACTGTAATGCAACAAAAGGTAAATTCCTGTATTGTCTTACAAAAAATTCGTAACAGGAAAAATAACATTCCTTGACAAATTACTCAGTAAGCTGACTTAAGCCAATATTGTAATACTATACTATATATATATCTGTGGTGCTTCACAGCACAAAACTAGTTGCTTATCCCAAACATGATGTTGCACATCAATCCCAGCTGTTGTTGGCTGTGCTTTTACTATGCGATTTTTATACTTAGTAGTTTGCCATTGCTTTCTAGGCAGCTCAGCACTTATACTGTTGTAAAATCAATGCAAAGTGGTCTTCAGAAAATGGCCTACATCTGAATCGAATTGGTAGGTTATTATTAAACCCTCTCTCTCTCTCACACACAAGCACACACACAACTGCACACCCACATACATAAACCGTGTCTACACTCTTTGCAGGGAAAGGTTTGCTATCATTTTGTTTAAACACAAAAGTACTAATGCATCTCCATGTGGGAGGCAATTTTTAATTATTTTCAAGCTTCACCCTGGCCTTTACCGGGGGCCCTAAATATAGCTGGGCCTTGAAATATGGCCTAATGGCTGAATGGGGTTTCCGGGACCTCTCCAAGGGTTATCCTCCTCCGTATGGTGGCACTTTGTGTCACCAGATGTTTATCGCATGTGTGATGTCCTGGTGGGGTACAACCTACCTACCTACATAGTACTGATGCTTAACAAGAGAAGTTAACTCCTATTTCCTAATTTGCTGCTAGCTGTTCTTATTAAGGCACCTTTATCAGCTCAAAAAGCTGCAATCAAGTTTCTTATACAAATAAAAACAAAAACAAAAACAAATGGGTAAAGACAACCTCACTTCCAATCAGTTGTGAGATTAAACAAACAAATTCAAGAAAATTTTCTTTTGGCTCAAAACAATGCTAATGTCCAGGCAGTATCCTGACACGACATTAAGTTAAAAAAAAAACAAAAAAACAGCATTCACCTGCCTGTGGAAATACATGCATGCATTTCAACAGACTAAACAATTAGCTGATTTTTTTTTTAAAGTCAACATTTGTACAGACTTATCAAGGTATGCCTCAAAATATGGTTATTTTGTAATTTAAAAACAACTATCTTTTCAGTTTTGTGTTGAAAACTAGCATGTGTACAGCCTTGGGAAGAGCTGTAGCATTTTTGTTTCTTCAGTCTAGCGAAGAGCAGAAGTGACTTAAAATACTGTTAACTAAAAACAATTAATCGTTTCTTCTTGAAAGGTAACAATTTTACAGCCTTGCGAAGAGCAGAAGTGACTTTAAAAGAAACATTCAATTAAAAAGACAATCAACTGTTTGTTAATGAAAAATAACATTTGTACAGCCTCATTAAGAGCAGAAGTGACTTAGAAAATTATTAATTAAAAACACTTGTTTCCTTTTGAACATAACATTTGTACAGCCTCACAAAGAGCAAAAGTGGCTTAAAATACATTCAATTAAAAACAATTAATTGTTTCTTTTCTTGAACAATAACATTTGTACAGCCTCACGAAGAGCAGAAGTGGCTTAAAATACATTCAATTAAAAACAATTGTTTCTTTTCTTGAACAATAACATTTGTACATCCTCATCAAGAGCAGAAGTGCATTATAGAATATAGTCAATTAAAAACAATAAATTGTTGTTTTTGAACAATATCATTTATACAGCCTGGTGAAGTGACTTAAAATACAGCTGTATAATAAGCAAAGCTAATAATGAATAAGAAATTCCAAATGTTCTCACAATCCATCACTGTTTTGTATGACACATTTAATCTTGCTCTGTATGTTCTATGGGACTTTGTAATTAATGGAGTTTAGCAAATTAAGGAATGATGAGCAAAGATAATAATTATCACAGTTAGTGAACTTGATCATCTAGTGAAACTGATTATTTTATACCTTGTGTGCATGTTGAATTTAGTATTTCTGGATCTAATTGTCACACTCCTTACATACAACTTCCATTAAGGGCAGATTGTCTAGAGTCAGATAGCCAAACCACCTCATATTTGTTCCTCTCAAGTAGTCTTTAAAGCCACTACCACACACAAAAGTTATCCTTCTGGATGCCATGCATTTTTATTGAAGGAAACATATATCACAAGAGACAGTCTGTGACCACAAGCTTGTATAGTATTAGGATGATGATGATGGGAATATCTCTTCAAATTACTTTCCACCTTCGAGAGCTGGAACCATGTTCATGAGAGCCGACTCTTGACAGCAATTAGAGCATTTTCTCTCCTTCAAAACAAAAAAGTAAAATATAATTAAAAATTGTATCAACTGCGTAAGAATATTTCAACAGTTAACAATATATGGAGAAGCCACAGTAGTGTAGCAACTGGATATCTGCTTGCCAACAAACAGTCTTGGGTTTGAATCTGCAGTGAGGTGCATTTCTTTCAAAATTGACCTTGGCCCCCACTATGAGCCAGCCTAAAATGGGTACCAGGTAATGTCCTCAGGAGTTCTTCTTCTTCTTCTTTTCTTTTCTTCCACCTTGTACCTCATCAAAGTGTCAGGGGAAGATGTAATGTTTGTTGATGAGCTCTGTCAAAAGCACTATTAAGACTGATGTTCATTTCTGTAAGGCTCTTCTTAATGCCATCACTCCAAATTTTCCGAGGTCTTCCACTCGCTCTATACCCATTGTAAAAGGTGGCAAGTGTGATGTTGACCAAATCTCCCACACAGTGCCAACTGATCTATAAATATACAAGTCTTGAACCATAGGCCAGATGCCTCAATGGCATAAAAAGGTTAGTTAGTTAGTTAGTTAATTAGTTAGTAAGTTGATAGATTTTCCTTATTGCACATCCAACTATTCAGTTCTAAAGTGATCAGATTCCCTCCTCAGTAAATCCTGCATCGTGCTGCGACTGATGATACCAGTCCTGTACTGGTTTCTTATTCTTCTTTGGCTTCCTGCATAAAAAGGGCCTTTTTTTTAAAACTTACTTTCAATACAATAATTACTGATTTCTTTGTCTTTCATTATTGTTTGATCATTTATTCTTTTAAGCCTTTTTTTAGGAGCCACAGTTGTGCAGTCGCTAGCTCATCTCACTGCTGGTCATAGGTTCAAATCTCGATTGAGACAGATTCCAGTAACAGATTTATAACAGCAGCAACAAACAACCATATATGAACTATAAACAGTATCTATACAAAATTCTAATGGGACATGAATGATACAGGTACTGAGATAGACTCGTGGGAATAACATGCCAAGAACCATGTTGCATGGAGACAGCAATTAAGCAAGGGAATGAGAATGAAGGAAGTAATGATCGTAGATAAGATGAAAACTTAGCTTAAAAGAGAACTCACACTATATACACATGATGGCAACAATGGTCCTAAAAACTAATGCTCTAATTATGGAAGACTTCTTTAACCATTAGCTCTTCTTAGTGTAGAGATGTTTATGATGATGTTTAATGAATTTTAGTTGACACCTACCCACTGTCTGACATCTTCTTGATACCGCTCAAATTCATCACACCATTGGTCAAATTTACGCATCCATCTTTGTTCAATTTGCTCTTTACCTGTAACATCAACATCAAACATTTGAAAATGATTTAAGTGAATACCACTGGTGTTTTAACAAGATGACCAATATATTGTAAACAGTATCCACTAGTTGTCTGCTGCTTTTGTACGGACTATTATTGCCACTCCAGGTCGACACAGCCTTGAGTGGGTACCAAGTGCTGTCCTAAGAAGTAAAGGTGGCCAGTGGGATGCTGATCACAAGTGCTGATTGGTCTACAGAATATAGCTCTAGCCCTATATGCCCAACAGGCATGGAAAAGGGTCCTTTACCGATTCTATTAAAAAAAAAAAATTGCAAGCTTAGTTAGTCCTCTTTCAGCCGCCCGAAGGCCTGCTATATTAAGGACTCTTTCTTTGCTGTCTGATACGAATTTTGTTTATTTGTGGCGACTAGTTTTGCCTAAGTTTGTTTTTCTGTGTAATATGTCCGACATGGTCTGGCTCAGCGGCTTGTAATATGGCTGTTTTTCCTGGCTGGTCTTGAACTGTGTGGATTTCTCTGGATCGGTGAGCTGGCTTGTTCTGCTGTCATGGCTGCTTGGGTGGTTCCGCTTGGCTTCTGGCTTCGTCTTGCCACTGTTAGGCTGGGCCCTTGCTGGGTTGGTCGAGGGTAGGAGGGTGTGGTTTGTCTGAGGTGGCTCATGAACGGGTATTGAGTGAGTCAAAACTGGCCGCTACCTCGTCTGTTAAACGTGACCTGTTTACTCTGTTTTCTTCTTATCTTGCACGGCTGTGTATAGGCTGCATAAAGCTCTTGCCACATTCATAACCAATTTTTGAGTATGGGGACTTGTACTTCTTTTGGTAGGAGCTCCTCTCTTTCGAATTCCTCCTCGTTGAACATTATCACCCATCGAACCTTTTCCGTCGCGAGCCTGTGCGGGTGCATCTGTTAATTAAATCCTTGAAGCATAGTTTGAAATTCAGCCTCACTGATCTCTTTATCGGCTACCGCTTCTTGGCTTTTCACTTTGGTTATTACCAGGTCTTGGTCTTCGTGTTGAATAGGTTAATTTTCCTGGTTTTTAGTTGCTTGTATTTGCTGTCTTTTGGCTGCTTCCTTCCTCGCATTCTCTCTTGCCTCATTCACATTGTTGGTTTCTAGGTCTTTGAGCAACTGCAATTTTTCTTCGTGTACTTTATTTAGTATTGCTTCTGTTGCTATTAGCGTTTCCTTGAAAGAGGTGATTTTGGCAAAGAGTTTCTGCTGGATTGCTCTCATTTCTTGGGTGTCATTCTCCAATTTCTTGGTTGCCTCCGCCTTTTAGTAGTAAAAGATTTTTAAAAAAAAACTGCATCTTATCAAACATGCTGTAAGATATGACAAGAGGTAGAGGCCGGCCTTGAGCTGGCTACCTCTTCCCATACAATATAAACAAAAATAAAAGTCTTCCTTAGGAAACAAAGACATCAAAGAGAAACCCTAAGATGAATGTTGTTGCCAGAAGATTGCCCAGGATGGAATCAAATTTCTCCTGTCAGTTATGGGGCCCCTTTGTGGGCGAAAACAAGAATGAACACACTGCCTATACAAAAGCATGTCATAAAAGTCGACTGACTGGGGGCTTTCTTCAAAGTCGGAGTGCAACTGCCTGAGAGGTGAGGAACCAACAGTCTGCATGCACATGAGTCAGATCTGTAAAATAAATGTGCATGCAACACTCAGGTTCTGGAATGGGACTAAAGTCCAGAAATGAACGAACACCCAAACTTACGACATCACAACATCTAGAGTGAGAATGGAGGTGAGGCGATAACTGCAGCTCTCCAGTGGCTAGAGAACAAGATGCATACACATGTTGTAATTGTAACAGACTCTGAAAGCATGCTGAGAAATGTGAAGACAGGGATGCTCAAGCAGAATGGCAAGCTTCACTGGGAAGGTCACGGGTAGTGAGCATACTTTGGATCTTTTCTTGGCTTAGTGGGTAATGAACAGGCAGACAGATTGGCTAGATCTGCACCACTGGGTGGTGAATTGATACATGACAAAGCGGACGTGGTCAAGGCCCTTTGGGAACAAGCAACAGAATCAGTAGAGAAAGAAGATTATTATGACCTGGAGCTAATGAGACACCTGGGGGGTCTGGCCGGTTCACTACGTGTGCACGCACGCACGCACATAAGTGCACGCACGCACATAAGCGCGCGCCTGTGCAAGCACATAAGTGAAAGCGCACATACGCACATAAGCGCACGTGCACGCACGCACATAAGCACACACATGCGCACGCACGCACATGCACGTACGCACGCACGCACAGAGAGAGAGAGAGAAGATGACCGCCCTTTCATAAGGAACACAGAAATAAAATAATAAAACTGTAGCAAGAAGTAATATCAATGACAGAACTGATCCAGAAGACCAAGATCTCTTGAAAGATGAACTCCTATGCCATTTGGCTGAGCACGTGATGATGAAGAACTGAAAACTTGCTTGTTTACCTATTTATCTGGGACTTTGTTTTCAAAATGGCGGATAGCAGCAGTGTTCATTTTTGCTGGCTGTCAACTCTCTCAGATTGTTCTGTGTCCTAATCATGGACTGCTATTTTGTGTGCATTTCCAAGGCAGGATACTATGTGCTTTTCATGGGAGTAGCATGTATTGTGGTTGTGTTATGTCTGGGCAGGATAATGGCCGATAGTTCTGGCAGCCTTGACCATGCTTCCTTCTCAATATTTTGATCAGGAAGACAGAATCTCGTCAGCAGGGGATTGCAAATGTCTAGAGAGCAAACTTGATAAAAGCTGTCACCAGAAACGGAATGTGTCAACCATATTTTGTGGTGGGAAGGAATTGACACATACGGTTAACTCGATGGCCTGGCCATCTATTTATCTAATTAAGTAGTTTACAAAAGACCTTACTTGTCTCTATAATAAGAGAGTACTCTGCAACTGTCCTTCCCAACTTATCAGTGGCAGTGTACAAGCCCTCATCTGACTTGCGAAGATCTGTCACTATCAGAGAGTTGTCCTGTGCCAGTATATGCCTGTCATCATTCACGTTGGTACCATTTCTGGTCCACCTGACACTTCCACTGACATGAAGCCGATATTCTACTCGTAAGGTCACTGAACTTCCAGATATCTTGGAAATTTTTTCATAAGCTGCAAATAAAATAATCACAATCATAAAACTAATAATTAATAATACATCAAAATCTCTAGTTACTATTTTGTCAAAGTTATTTTTACTTGAATCATGAATTCATTGATGAATAAAATATTACTCATGTTAATAACGGATAAAATATTTGTATGATAACTATTCTAATTTACAGGTGTTACTGTTTAAATCTAAGGTTAATTAGCACTACAGTTAAAATATAGATTGCAGTTACTGTTTCATTACTGAGGTACTACCGCTACAACAAATACAATGAGATATAAATGGGCCCAAGAAACAAAAATAATAGCAGTATCAACAAATTAGTCATTGCTGATGACCAGCCTTGATTGCAGATACAGCCATGAATTTACAACAACATCTCACAGCCATGAATGAAGTATGTAAATTAAAAAATATGAGAAGAAGAAGACAGAAGTAATTTCAACAGGAAGAAAGAAGCAGAATTTAAATATAACATTAGGGCATACATATATTAAACAGGCATCAGATTCTGAACATCTTGGAACAACATTCACTGAAGATGATAAATTGGATGAAGAACTTGACATTCAATGCAGTAAAGCGGGTCAAGTATTTAACGGCTAATTCCCCTCTTACAGCATAAGGCAATCCAAATCAGCACAAAGAAACATCTCATACAAAGCATATTCATTCCCATCTGATGCTATCAGTGCCAGATGTGTTCACTCCCAACAAAACATAAAATAAAATTAGTAACCATGGAAACAAGATGTTTAAGAAAGGCTGTAGGAGTGTCCAGAAGAGGTAAAACTGGAATAAAATCATATGAGATAAAGTCGGCACAGAACCAATTCTAAATTACATACAAAGACAGCAAATCAAATAGTCTGCCCACCTGGAGAGAATGCCTTCTGGTGCTATACCATACAAGGAATTTACCCCCCAAAAAAGGAGAGGGATGTAGAGCAAGAGGTAGACCAAGAACAAAATGGGAAGATAACATCAGAGAAACTCTACAGTACCACAATGTGACTATGGATGGTTTATGGTTTATACAACGAATCAACATTATGGCACAAGGGTTGTAACCCATAAAGGCTCCATTATACTTCTAACTCAAGCCTGAGTTCAAAGAATATCAGCGCAGTGCACGAACTCTGTAGAACCAGCAAGGATCCTTAAATACTTTTGGGTAGATTTTAAAGTTTTTTTATGTGTGCAACAATGGACACGGGCGTCCAGTCTTACTATCCTGAGACCAGTGGAAATTACTAAAGTCCACGTGAAAAAATCCCAGCCTTTACTGGGGTCTGAACCTGGGACCTCAAGCAATTGAGGCGGATACCATGCCTCTAGACCACTCAGTCTATGGACGAATCAGCCAGAACAGGACCTTACATTTCCCTTGAAGTTTCATTACTTTTTAAAAATTATGGTGCTTTTTTACATTTCCTTATACACATTTCACATTGTTTTACAGTACAACTAAGTCCATGCGAACGCTTTGTAATGCCGGGATGCCAGGTTCGATCCCAGCTGCGGGCCATGCGCCTTGTGTTGGTTTCGACAGTTGAATCAGGCAGCCGACCGTCCAGAATGCAATGGCAAACTACTGGACATAAATTTGCAGTGAGAAACCACACTAGACAAATGGGGCTGCTGGGATTGGTTCTACAACGTCCTGTAAAGGATACACAACTAACCTTTACAGTACAAAACTGTCTAAGATGCCAAAAGTGGAGAACAGAGTGTAAAAAGCAACAGTGAACTTTATAATCTATTTAAATCACAACTAATTACTGGCATTATAAAAAATAATGACCTGTAAGAAGTGTGGCATATCAAGAAAATGCAGATAACAGAGAGAAAAAAACACTGCATATACAAAAGTGCTGAGTGGGAGTTTACCATGAGGCAAACAAAGAAGACAGTGGAGAGATAACATACTGGCTGACTTATAAACACATCAAGTTACCAAATGGTGAGAAAAGGCCAATCCCAGAGTTAAATGGAGGTGGGTGATACATGCAGCAATGAATCTAAAATGGCTCAGAATGCAGAAAAAGAAACAGAAGAATTTAAAAGACGGCAAATATTTATCAAATGAAGTCATAATTTCCATACTGGATTATAAAATCTCACTATCTGCACATACTATTAATTCAGCGTAAACAATTACTCACCATATAACTCTCCAACATGTTTCCTAATGGCTTCCTCAAGTGAATATGATAGCAAGTCTATTTTAGCATAGTTGATTAAACTGAAAATAAATAGAAAAAGTGACTAGAGCTGACATTTCTGGGTTAATGAAGAATCAACACCACTGCACTTTGAGATAACACACAGATATTTCGCCTTCTTCAGTAACTGTCTCAAAGGGTTGATGTTCCAGTAATGTAGTTTGTAAGCACTTTTAGGCACATATCATGAAACTCACCACATCTTGCGAGGCACAAATTTCCCACAGGTTGTCCTATGTTGGAGGGATGTCACGTTTTGTTATTTTCAATGCCATAAGCATTCTATTTTTCATATTGTCAGCCCGTGTTACTTGTGTTGAGCGTTCACTCTTCATCGCTGTCACTGCAGCGTCAGTTGAAAACTTGATGTTTGCCCTGAATTTCCTTCAACTGTTAGTATTGAACGGCAAGCAGAATTGCATTGCTTTTCTGTAAGCCCCCCCCCCTCCTCCTCACCTGATGGCCTTTTCACGGCCCACCCAAAAATATCACCAATTCTCAAACCAGTGACGGCTGAAGAACTGCAGTTAAGAGAGAAAATAAATCTAGTTGAAGCCTCAGGCATAGGCATGTCATATTAACATGAGTTACTGCTGATGTCCAGGTTTGGCAGTGATAGCATAAAGTTAGTATGAATTGGATACTCATAATCACAACTGAAGAGCAGCTAGCACTGGGCTTTTTATGGGAAACCCAGGTTCAAATCCTCTATAACAGTGGCTCTTAACTTTCCTAATGCGGCGACCTTTTAATACAGTTCCTTATGTTGTAGTGACCCTTAACCACACTATTATTTTCATTGCTACTTCATAACTTAAGTAAATATGTGTTTTTCAAGAGTTATTGACGACCCCTCTAAAAGGATCGCTCGACCCATAAGAGGATCATGATCCACGAGTCTATAATATTATGGGTTTTCTCTAGGAGGGCAAAAAAGAAAAATCCAAACTTGTACAGTCCATAGAGACTGCATAAGCCACAGCCACACAGTCATGAATCCCCAGGTTCTAAGACCCTCCTGCCTACACTGCAAAAGTGGTAAATACAGTCAGTGATGGGAGTTTTCCTTTTAATCAAAATTCTTTAACAATCAGATCTGGTACAGAGACACAATCTTGAATGGTTACAACCAACATAAAAACCTGCAATGAAATATTCTTGTCCATGTGGTTTCCTTCTGGTTGTAGAGGTACTACATAGAAAATACCTTCCTTTTATTTCACTTACTTCTTTTTTTCATTAGATCTACAACTTCAGTTGTTTGAAGATACCTCTTTCTTTCATTAGATCTTCACTTTCCAGTTGTGGAAAGATCCCTTCCTTTTATTTCACTTACTTCTTTCTTTCATTAGATCCATACTTTTCAGTTGTGGGAAGATACCTTCCTTTTATTTCACTTACTTCTTTCTTTCATTAAATCTACATTCTTCAGTTGTGGGAAGATACCTCTTTCTTTCATTAGATCCACACTTTTCAGTTGTGGAAAGATACCTTCCTTTTATTTCACTTACTTCTTTCTTTCATTAGATCTACACTCTTCAGTTGTGGTATCCCAGCCACAATAGGGGTCATATATACAGAGGTCAATTTTTTGGTACTTGTCACAGGTTTCCACAGCTATCTGGCCAACAGCCATGTCAGTTCCAAAGTAAATCCATGCATCCTGCAAAAAAAAAAAAAAAAAAACAGCTGTCAGTCTTGTATTTTAAAATCACAATATATTTGCTCATTCTTCCTCTAATCCTACCCTTTATCCCTCAATGAAGCATAGCTTCCGAACAACTCATACGCCCGGCTCCCTAGTGTAGCTGGCTAAACCTGACTTCGCGACAACTGGGTGACGAACTCCTTGTGGTCCGGGTTCACGCCTGGGGGTAGGCAGAAAAGCCACATTTCTCCCAGATTTACGGTATTTATCATGAAATCAAGGCCAAAGGGTTGCGATATCCATAGTACCGAGCCAAAGGTAAGAACTCATGGTTTCTGGATACTTTAAAAAAAAAAAAAAAAACTCTTACACAGTCAAAGTCACTGATCAGACACAGCTCACCAAGTCCTTCCAATTTTTTTAAAAATCACTCTCTAGTGTTTGTGTGTGTGTGTGAGCATCATTGGGGGGGGGGGGGGGGGTGGATCTGCTTTTATTTCTATGACCTGTGAGATCCAGTGTAAAGACAATCTAATTATTTTATTCTCAGCTTTTTTTTTGTGTTCTAGCCAGTGCCATTCCCATTTTATTTGTGTATTTTCTAATTAGCTTCTTTTAGTCTGCTATCAGTAATGTCCAAGACTGTTTACAAATTATTCTCAATAGAATGACAGGGGTAGTAGACAAAATCCTGAGGGAGAAACAAGCAGGTTTTTGACCTGCTTGGCTGAAATACTATGTATATGTATGTAAGTTGTACCCTACCAGGACATCACACAAGCAATTAACACCTGGTGACACAAAGTGCCACCATATGGATGAGGATAACCCATGAAGAGGTCCCGGAAACCCTGTTCAACCATTAGGCCATATTTCAGGCCCAGCTATAATTAGGACCCCCGGCAAAAGCCAGGGTGGGGCTTCAAAATAACTAAAAATTGCATCCCACAATAGGATGACAAGAAATATTTTGATACGTACTTTAGGAATTTGAAGAAAAACATCCCCTTATTTTGAATTTCACTGACTTTAAGAATGCTTTTGATAGCTTATGTAGAACGTCAGTACGGGGAATTTTAAAATACAATCGCATATCAATAAAAGTAATAAATGTAATTAAAGTCTCATATAAATGTTCAGAGTGTGCAGTGTGAATGGGTGATGGTTTAAGTGACTGGTTTGCAAGTGAAACCAGAGTGAAACAGGGATGCATTTGATCCCCCCTGTTATGTGGTAAAACCATTGGCTGGGTGATAAAAACATTTTGTGCTGAAGAACACTAGAAATGACTGAGCGGATAACACACAATTAGAAGATCTCAATTTTGCTGATGACATTGTTCTGCTAAGTAAGAACAGCAATGACATGTAAAGAAAAATAGGTGATTTAGAAAAACAAAAATAGCACAAGAGTTGAGCTGAAAATAAGTTATGAAAAGACAAACTTATTGAAGACACCAGTTACAGATCAAACAGAGGTAACACTGGAGTAAAAAAAATTAAAGTAAGAAAAATTTGCCTCTTTAGGAGGTAATCTTGATGGTCAAGGAAACAAAAAAAAAAAAGAAAGAAATTATGACACCCACTAGCAAGGCATCATCAGCTTTTAAAAGCCTGAGAAAAATCTGGTAGTCTTAACTCTATAGTTTTAGAACCAATTTACACATTTTCAGTTTTAATACATCTTTATAATCTCATAGTCATCATGTGGAATGCAATTTTTGGTTATTTAGAAGCCCTACCCTGGCTACTGCCGGGGGCCCTAAATATAACCAGGCTTTAAATATGGCCTAACGGCTGAACAGGGTTTCCAGGACCTCTCCATGGATGATCCTCATCCGCATGGGGCACTTTGTGTCACCGGGTGCTTATAGCTTGTGTTGTCCTGGTGGAGTACACTTACCTACCTACCTAATACATCTAGATAGGATTTATTTAGCTTTTAAGAATGCTCTTTCTCGTCTCAACTGACAAAGAAAGACTGCATTCAATTTTCTTCATTTTGTCAAATACTGCCTTAGCTTGAGCTATTCTATACTTGACTTATTTAATACATCTTTCATCTGATGTTATCAGGGTGCCCAAGTACTTAAACATATCAACATCACATTACTTGTCTTTATTTTCCAGAATATTATCTGGTACCAATTTTAGATGGGGATAAAAGTGAAGCCAAGGTCAATGCTTGTGACCATGACTGCTACTGTCACAACCTGACCACATCTGGTTAATCCTCAACATTTCCATCACCATGCAGAAATCTGCTATTGTATGGGTATATTACATCTTCATCGTCAATTTTCAATTCCAGATTATTTGATATCTTTATGGCAAACAATCAGCTACCTGACTTTTTTTGGATTCCTTTACGAATTGAGCGAAAGATTCCTTTTTTTTTTCTTGAAGAGATGATTATTATTATTTGAACTTAATTATTTTATTAGGGAACTGTGATAGTATAGTAGTTAGATGCTTACCTGCCAAACTAAATCTCTGACGCTACCCCGACTGCGTGACCTAGCAGTTAAGCTTGGTAAAACATGTCTATACCACATTTGAGGTCATGATAGGATATACTTTAACCAATTTTTCATGGGAGAAAATCAATAGAGGCACCTTGGTGTGGCTGCTGCATTGGAATACAAAGCAAGCATGAGAATGCCCAATGTGCAAAGATGCTGACTGGGATAACACAACATAAATGTCTTTGGTTCAACTCTGCAACTGAGTTGGATTGTTTTTTGTCAAAACTGAACTTCAAAACAGCCTAAAATGGATACTGGATTATGACCTGGGAAGCAAAGGTGGCTGGCAAGATGTTGACCACATTACCTACAGACCACACAACCTACAGACCACATTACCTACAGAGGGCCAATTGGTTTATTAATAAAATGAATCTAGCATTATATACCTGATGCATCATCAGTGTGATTAGTACCCTTTACTTCTATTAATAACTGATACTATAGCTATTCAAGTCGTTAGTTAGCGTCCTTTTGATATTTTCTCCAACTTACGCCGGTGTGTTGGACTTGGTGGTGAACTGATGTATGACAAGCTAGATGTTGAGAGGGCACTCTGGGAGTGAGTGAACAGTGCGGAGGCACAGAATAGATCATTATGGTCTGTGGAGAATGGCATTTTGAGGAGTTATCAGGGAATATGGCCGACGCACAACACTCAAATAAATTATAACAGTGGCAGCCATAATGGCTACACCACCCTGAAGCAGCCTGTAGGTAAGGATATAACAATATAAAATAAATGGTATGCATTTTTACTTACATAAAGTATGAGATTCCAAACTGGCCTGCTATCACCAAATGGAATATAGTTTGTTACTATATACGTTTTTGGTGCATCCAGTGGAGTCAAACCTGGCCAGGCTGCTATCTTATAGATAATTCCAGTATCTGGGAACAGAAATAATCTGCAGCATTACTATTTATGTATTTTCAATTCTAATGTTATTTCAATTTTAACATATGCCAGTGACAGCTGGAGAACAACTAAAAATATGGAATGCAAGTTAAATGCTTTCGAAAACAAATGCCAAAGGAAAATAATGAAAATAAAATGGGATGAATTAAGAAGCAGTGAAGAAATAACAGAAATGTCTGGGCAAGCACTTGTATCAACAATTATGTTCCCAGTGTGGGTTCCTGGGCCCTGTTGAAGGGAAAACAAGAAGAGACCCACTGCCTACCCAAAAGCATGTCGTAGGAGTCGACTAAATGGGAGCTTTCTTCACAGTCGGAGTGCATCTACCTGAGAGGCAAGGAACCAGCAGTCCGCATAAAACGGATGCACACGCAACATTCAGGTTCTAGAACAGGACTGCAGTCCAAAAGTGGATGAACAACCAGGACTTTCTGCCAGAGTTTACAGCTGGTGAACACGAAGAAGAAGAAAAACAATTATAAGATAGAGAAGATAGCAGTGCATTGGACAGATTCTCAGTCACCAAACAGGCAGTAAAATGGGAAATAAAGGGATTAAGGAGACAAGGATGCTCAGAAAAAAAGCACCCTAAATTAAACGTTGACGAGAGAGGCCAAAGCTGCCGGACTGGATTCCATCCATGATACTGAACTGATTACGAAGGATAGGTAGGTAGGTAGGTAGTTGTACCCCACAAGTGACAAACACAAAGTGCCACTATGCGGATGAGGATCACCTGTGGAGAGGTCACAGAAACCCCTTTCAGCCGTTGGGCCATATCTATGTCCCGGCTACATTCAGGGCTCCCGGCAGAAGCCAGGATGAGGTTTCAATAACAAAAAAATTGCATCCCACATAAGGACGACTATTAGACAAAGGATAGAACAGAACAGAGGAATAGACTGCTCGTTCTCTGTGACCTATAATGGTGAAACAGGATCGTGAATGAAGCAATTACTATCTACTTCAAACAAGCTGTATCATCTGTTAAGTTACTAAATACAAAATCAAATGAGACTAGGAAGCTCAATGGAGGGAATGGAAAAGACACACACAAATACAACAGACTGATCATTGTGATCAAAGTCAGTATCAATGGAGCACTAAATACAGTACAATCTGGGACTGGAAGACTCAATGGACAACATGACAACAGAGCTTCTAAACAACCAAGGTCACAAAGAAACCAAGAAAAACATAATAGGCAACCAAAATGTGGACATGAAGGGTTTGATAGGAAATGAAAAAAGTAAGAAGACTTTAAAAAAAAAAAGATCAAAAACATAAACAAGTTAAACAAATTATTTAATAAAATTAAAAAAAAAAATTAAATTCCTGCGTTCCTGGTAGAAGTAAAGGTCCCCTTTCTTGCCAATGATGGTTCAGGTATATGACCATCATCATGTTCCATACTGAAAATCATAGGATGCCATGTTTTGCCATTTCACAGTGTCATCAGAATCATGGTCAGTGTTCTTGTCTTGCCCCGTCCACACAGCTAAGCCATCCAGGTATTTATCTCTTTGCCTTCCCCCTTGCACCCTTTTTATCAAGCTGTGTTTTTCTTGTGGAATGCCCTTTATTTGTGCAGCGGTTGTGTCATGGTACACAATATGGGTGGCAGCCTGTTAATGTTGGGCTGGTGACATACATCTTAATACACTTATTTCTGCAGTGGGGGGCTGTCGTCATCTGGAGGTGACAGGTTTGATTCCTGGCATGGACACTATAGCTTTTGATTTGTATGTTGTCTAGTGTGTCCTTCTATTTTTCTCCTTTTTTTCTATGAGTTCCAATCAATATGTGTCTGTTTGTTTGTTTATTATCCCTATTTACAGCAGAGCAGAGATATGTGCACCTTTCTGCAGACGCAACCAACTTCTGCAGGCATTTGTTGGCTGGGTTAGTCTTTCCAATAGATGTAAAATGACCAGACACCTTTCCTCATTTCAGGATACTTTCATTAACTTAAAAAAATTGTCTTCTGTCTTGACAGTTAACACTGGCTGCAGTGCAACCACAACTGTCTTTGTGAATATCATGCAAAGTCCCCGTCTTTTCCATGGTGCTACTCTCGTACCATTATCCGAATGTCACTTAGGTTTTTTTTTACTCTCGTACGCTGAGGTTTGGGTACTTGTGAAATGCATTCACTAGCCTCTAAGCAGCCTTTCAAATGAAAATGAGGATGAGGCAATATATGAAACAGTGATTCGTCATCATAAAGAAAAGAGGACAAGCTAAAGAACTATCGTATGGATGAGGGTTTTGACAATGATGAGGTGTTTTCCTGGATTCTATGATGAATGAAACCTGAGTTCAATAACTTTATGTAATCATATTATTTTTTTAACCTATTTCCAGTCCCAAAATCAAGTTGCATGTTATACTTGGAGAAATACAGTTTTCAGCAATTCACTAATTAGAATGAAGAACAATCTTCCATCAAACAAAAGGCAACTAACTCCTGTGACAACTTACTGGTTGCTGTAAAGAACACCAGCTCTCCATGGCCAGCCACATTTTGAACTACAACCAGTTTCTGCATAAGACAATTGCCCTGATAAAAGATGGGCTTGCCAAATGTGTGAGACACAGCTCTGTCCATTAGCATACTTGAACGGGATACAAAGTTAATGAATTCATAGGGTAAATCATTCTGCTTGCTTCTTAAACTTGTTCTTTTACACTGAAAAAGAAGATAATTGAAGATTACAATTAGTGGCCACATTCTGTGTGGTGTGCAGTAGTGAAATAATATAGGATGTCCCATAAATATCTACAGATGAGAAAAAATATATCACCAAGGCCATTAAAAGGATAACTTCTGCTGTGCATATACAGATTTTTTTAACAGTGAAGGGCATGCATTGAAATGAATTATCCTATGTATGGAAATTGTATGAGACACCTTTAGAAGTGAAGAATCATGTGCGACAAAAAGGTAAACAGTACAGACTTAACTGACATTCAGGACAAAGACAAAGTTTTGAGCTTGAACCTGTAAAAAAATTTTTGTCAAAAACTGACCTTGGCGGGCAGGTATAGGTACATTAATGATCAAGTGCCCAATGGTGTACAAAAACTATGGGACCAGCAACACTTGATTAAGGTGCCACTGGCAATGAAATGGGGCATTTATTTACTTTTATATATATATATATATAAAAAAAAACTGCTTGCTCTACTTTCTAAACCATATTTTCAGTCCAACTTCAACTTCTGCGTCATTCGTGAAACGTCTCCTGCCAAGATGGATTTTCAGTGGACCAAAAAATTGTGGAAATTGCTAGGGGCTAAGTTGGGGCTGTAAGGTGTGGATGTTCCAGAAGTTTCCACTCTAGATGGCTAATTTTATCCTGTGTTAACCGAGCGTTTGTGGTCTGGCATTGTCAAGAAGGAATAGAACTCCTCTAGTCAGTATGAATCAGCATGAACAGGAAGCATTTCCTAATGAATGTCCTTTGCAGGCAGCCCTTCTGAACTCCCAAAATACGCACAACAGCATGCTAGTCTTTAAGGGTACACTCCGTAAGTACAGTCTCTACTTTGTTTCTGTGTTGAGAATGCACATGCAACACCTAGCGCCACCTAAAAACGGAGACATAAAGTTTGATGTCGCTGTCATCTAATAACAACTGTAGAAACCACCAACTTCATGCCATCCCATAACCATGTGCTACTTACTTATTGACTTCCCCTCTTAAATCTGAGGCACAGATTTAAACAAAGGCACTCTGTTTATCATATTCTTCATGCTTTCATACTTACATCTCCTGGTCGTGGCGACGGCACTTCAATTTCAGCCACTGGCAGCCAGATGGACTGTTTATCCCTCTGTTCTTTAAATGCCCCATCAAAAGCTCGATCTATGTCACGCATGTTGAACCCACAAATGGCAGAAGCTGTCAGGCCATTTCTGTAGTAGTTTAAAAAACAATTAATTCATCACACACACAAATTCAAATTTACATGTACCATCCAATAATAATTACACTTTCAGTATAACATTTAATAAGATGCAAAAACACAGATGATGATGTGCATAGCTGGATAATAGAAATACAGGTGATAAATGATGCTAACTGAGCAGCAACATAATTAAATAAATTCCCCGTGTGGGTTCCTGGGCCATATCATAGCGAAAACAAGAATAGATCTACTGCCTACCCAAAAGCATGTCGTAGGAGTTGACTAAATGGTAGCTATCTTCAAAGTGCGAGTGCATCTGCCTGAGAGGCAAAGAACCAGCAGTCTGCATACAATTTAATCAGATCTGTAAAACGGATGCACATGCAGAACTCAGGTTCTGGAACAGGAACTGTAGTCTAGAAGTGGATGAGCAACCAGAACTTTCCGCCAGAGTTTACAGGTGTTGAAGGCTAAGAAGAAGAAGAAGAAAAAATAAATAAACCTTTGTTGGGATAATTAAAAATTTTCCCCTACATAATCATCAGTGTCAGAAATTGCTACTGGGTACCATCATATTATTCTAACGAAATTACTTGATTGCACCTGCGACCTATAGACTGATATGAACAATTCCTTAGCTGCTTGATATGAGGTTGTGAAGTCTTAGTCTTATAGACTATCAGTGACTTCTTCACTCTATGTTCTCTCAGGTCTACCTCTGCCACTTGCTGTTTCCATTTTCCTGTTGTACACTTACACTGCCAGCATTGTTGATTCCATTTCCCCTAGGTGGCTGAGCCATTACAGTCTTCGTTTCTCAATTAATTTAACAACTGATCATATTTCAGTAGTTCTAATTTCTTCATTTCTTGCTCAATCTCTGTTGGGTTTGTTCACAGCCTTTCTCAAACATCTTATTCCACTGGTAGTTAGTTTTCTCTCATGATATATATATTTTTTTAAATTTAAAAGTGTTAAATTATTTATTATTTATTTAATTAATAAATTTCATTTATTATTACCGTAGCTTCATTTAATTTGTAAACATAAAGTACATACGTGTTTGTTGTGAAAAGTCCATAGAATGTATCACCAACTTTATATACATCCTCTGAAACAATAATTTAATTATGACATTACTGTATAATTTTACATGTTTATAACAATATCATATGTAAGATCATGCATTGGTCAGGTAAGTGGATTAGACATGAGAATGAAAGCTGATCAGCTACTTGCAAAAGCATACAACAAAAATCATCTTGAAGAAAAAAAAAAACAGTCTATCATGATCTTGGTAGGGGCACTTATTTAGTAATATGGAGACTGCCTGCAAAGCAATAAACATGTGATTTTCATAGTGTGCACACAAGCCACAGAAGCCATGTGAACTACCTCTAGTAAGGAAAGTGAGCTCATCTTGTAAACCTTCTGTTGGCAGTTGTTGACCGAGCGTCCTAGCAGACGATCTGGACAGCCGCAGTGTGAACATGCCACGTGAGTACTGGTGTCAGTTATTGTGTTAGAGTTAGCTAATAGGTTGAGTTATTTAAAATGATGTAGCAATGGCGGACTTAATGGAAACTCTTTACCATGAAAAAAAAGCAGCAGTCAGAGTAGCTGGTGAAACATCAGAGTGGTTTGAAGTGCAGAAAGGAATGAGACAGGGCTGCATTATTTCTCCGTCCCTATTTAACATTTATGTTTAAAATGTTATGAGAAATGCAATTTGTGATGAGGCGTGCAAGAGCTTTGATCCACTAAAAAATTTGGAGGTAATCCTATCCCAGAACTCAGATATGCAGATGACACAATTCTCCTTTCCAACAGTGTACAAGGTTTAGAAAAATTAATTCACGCCATCAAAAAGCAAAGCAAAGAGGTTAATATTTTTCTAAGTTTAAAAAAAAAAAAAAATCATGTCGTCAGTAAATAGCGCACCAACCACATATCACAATCGAAAATGAAGAAATAGAAAATGTCACAATTTCAAATACTTGGGCTCTTTATTAAACAACAGTGGACACTGCTTGAAAGAAGTCAGAAGAAGACTTACAATAGCAATGCAGAGATTAAACAGCATGAAGAACCTATGGCAAAGCACCTGTAAATTAGTTAAGTAAAAATCTTGAGATAGGCATTTTCCTGTGGCAACTTATGCTTGTGATTCCTGGACTTCAATCATTGAAGAAAAAAACTGGAGCTTTTAAATTAAAATGTTCCAGAAAAATTCTTAGAATACCATGGATCCAGAAGAGGATAAACATAGACATTCTGCAAGAGTTGAACATCGTATCGAGGAGAACTGGCTCATAAACAGTGTCTGTCCTGAAAGTTGAAGTATTTTGGCCACATCCAGCGTCATGGTGGCATTGAATAGACAGATGGAGGATGCAGTTTGTGGAAAGCCAGGCAGGGGTCAACTTCTGTGAAGATGGATACAGGACATTGAAGATGCATTGGCATTGAAAGCACATGGGGCTGGAGAGCTGGCCAGGGAGAGGTCAACTTCTGTGAAGATGGATACAGGACATTGAAGATGCATTGGCATTGAAAGCACATGGGGCTGGAGAGCTAGCCAGGCAGAGGTCAACTTCTGTGAAGATGGATACAGGACATTGAAGATGCATTGGCATTGAAAGCACATGGGGCTGGAGAGCTAGCCAGGGAGAGGGATACTTTCAGGTTGCCATGAGGAGACCGACGTTCTGTAAAGGACATGCTGATTGTTGATGAGGTTGTTTACTCATTAAGAAAAACATTCAGTTAACACACATCACCATAAAGTACTTTAATAAACTTAAGAACTGAAAATATCTCATACTGGTAATTACAATACAAAAATATGAATATCTTTTACTACTCAGTAAGCAACAAACTCACGTATTTCGTCAAAGTAGTAGGGATATTCTCCAGGTATTGAACAATTCAGTCTGGCTTTCAGAAAAGAAATCCAGATGTTCTGTAGCGTGTTGCTACCCCCATAATCATTCTGTAATGTGGTAAGTGAAAACAGTTAAGATATTTAAATATGTTATTTAAATAATATAAATGTGCATGAGATAAGCTGCAGTTAATAACATATGATAAAGAACACACACAAATGTTTCAACTGCCAAAAGTGCTTTCAAACCAAAGAATGTTAATTGAGAAAAGATATTCTTCTTTATCAAAATCGACTCAAATGTGTACATAAGATTGTTACAAACTATGGAAAAAACATACATGAAAGGAAACCTTTTGAAAAAAAAATATATATATACATAAAAAAAATATTAGACAAGGATAATACAAATAATTGTCAAAATCAAAACGATCTGAATTTATCAACTAAGAGATATTCACAGAGGTTGAGGGTATCTGAACATGTAGTAAAAATATCAGCATCTGGAAGATAGACTGTTCAATATTTTTTAATCCATAGTACCATTATCTATTCATCATCATAGCAATTTTGTATTGCCATCTGTCACTATTTCCAATGTTGTCATTTGTTATCATGGAATTATTTGTGCAAACAGATTTTAGCAAGTTCATCATCATCATCTTGTCGTGCCATTTTTTGTCACACATGGCTTGCCTTCTGGTCTCCTATTCTGTTCCATCCTGTGCAAAAAAATCATTTGATATCATGGAGGGAAGAATCTAGTTCAGTACTTTTGGCTTGTTTTACCATCATTCATTTAAAGGTTTCTTTCTCATGACCTCATTTTCTCATAACATTTATACAATCTAGGTAACACATTTGGCAGAAGATAAAAATTTCAGCACCCTTCTACACTTAACATGTTTCATTTTGTTAACTTTTACTGGTCTATGTATTTATTACTACAAAGTTACAAATTACAAATCCATGGGGCGGAAAGCGTTTAAAAAAAGCCTATGTGATTGTGAAGTAACCTATATACAGTACATTAATTGGTATCACATGAGTTAATTATCTTCTCAGATCAGATCAGCACATGACCTTGCAAAAGCTTGTTTCGGTACAGAGTACAAAAACTGTCACTTCTTTTGCAAATACCTCCCTCTCACTCTCACACAAACACACACACACTCTCTCTCTCTCAATTCCAAACATGTAAAGCTACACACAAAAAACTTCCTCAGTGCATAAACTGAAGGGGAAAAGGAGAATCAAATTTATGATCTATCAACTATACTGTGAAATACCATTTTAGGAACGAGACATATGATATATATATATATATATATATATATATATATATATATATATATATATATATATATATATATATATATATATATATATATATATATATATATATATATATATATATATATATATACATATCTATATATATACATACATACATACATACATACATACATACATATATATATATATATATATATATATATATATATATATATATATATATATATATATATATATATATATATATATATATATATATATATATATATATATATATATATATATATATATATACATACGTATGTATATATATATACATTCGTGCGTGTGTGCGTGCATGTGTGTGCGTGCGCGCGCGTGTGCGCGCGCGCGCGTGTGCGCGCGCGCGTGCGTGCATGCATGCACGCACATCCTCCATCATAACATTGTTTCAAAAAATATTTCCTGTCACCCTAAGAAGGGCATTTGGCACATTGGATTGTGGTAAAATATGGTCAAATAATCCATTAGGGTTTATTCTTCTTTCTTCTTGTTCTTGTTCACCAGCTGCAAACTCTGGCGGAAAGTTCTGGTTGTTTATTCACTTCTGACTGCAGTCCTGTTCCAGAACCTGAGTGTTGCGTGTGCATCAGTTTTAACGGCCTGACTCATTTGTATGCAGACTGCTGGTTCCGTGCCTCTCAGGCAGATGCACTCTGACTTTGAAGGAAGCTCCCAATTAGTCGACTCTTACGACATGCTTTAGGGTAGTGGGTCTATTCTTGTTTTCCCTATAACAGGAACCCACACTTGAAGGTTTTATTCTGAAGATGCAGATAAATGAGGACTTACCTTGCAAACTCGGGCAACTCTTGAGTATATTTTCTTTCCACAGTTAGTGTACTCCAAGGCCACCTCTCGATAGAAAAAATAAACATGCTCACCGACATCAAAGGATCCAACAAACTGTGGTTCTGGAAAGAGTAGAGAGGTTTCATTTAATTTATGCAATATTGAGCTTATTAGTTATTGAAATTGACAAAAAGAAATCATCGTTTTCAATAATTAGTTTAACTGCAGGAACAAAATTTACCATCTTGTCAAAAGGATAATAACATTTACCAACTAGTCAATGCAAAAACAAAACAGTATGATTTAGTCAAAGAATAAAAAGTTTTAATAAGATAGCAATCTTCTTCTTTTTTTTTCTTTGTTTGCCAGCTGTAAGCTCTAACTTGTTCGTCCATTTGGACTTTGGCTTTGTGTCAGGGCCTGAGTTTTATGTGTTAAACCATTTTGCTGGCTTATATGTGTACATTTGGTTGTTCCTTGGCGTTCGGCAGTGCACTTCGACTTCGAAGGAAGACCCAAATTAGTCGACTCCTATGACATGCTTGATGGGGAGGCAGCAGGTCTTTCTTGTTTTCCCACAAAGGGTCTCCGGAACCCATACAGAGAAATCAGACAGCAATCAAAATATAGCAGAAAACATTGTTTCAAGGTCATTTTAAAATGTTAACTAAAGCAGGTTTAGGTTAATACAAAGTAAAGGACTCTTTACACACCAGTGACATATGGAACATATTATACTAGACTCATATTTGTATGGACCATTCAGCACTTGGTGGGTGATGTGGTCAATATCATACTGGCTGTCTTTACTTCCCATAACTTTTCCTGGTACTAATTCTAGGTTTTTCATGAGAGCAGTCAACTATAATTTCCTTTTACAAAGCATTTCTAAGCTGTATTACAAACGTTTGGGAGCAGAGTGATATGACAAACTTATGGACCCATCAAAGATGCAAACAGTGGAGAGTGGAGAGTGAGAAGCAATAATGAAATCAAAAATCTGTTTAAATCACTATCAATTAACCAAGGAAGACTGCAGTTGTTGCGGCATACAAAGAGAGACTGACAGATAACACAAAGTCTGGACATACAAAAGAGTTAAATAGGAGTAGAGGCAGACATAGAAGGATATGGATATGTAATATATATATATATATATATATATATATATATATATATATATATATATATATATATATATATATATATATATATATATATATATATATATATATATATATGCAGACCTATCTATACAGATGGTTCGGTGTTAAGAGGAAAGAGAAGTGTCTGGGGGTTCATAGCCAAAGCCAATTGAAAATCTTTAGTGCAAGACAGCCTAGCATACAACATCACAATACCTAGCATGAGAATGGAGGTAGAGGCGGTAACTGCAGCTCTCCAGCAAAATGCATAAACATGTCATAATTGTAACAGACTCTGAAAGCATGTTGATAAAGGTGAAGACAGGGATGCTTCGAGCAGAGTGGCAAGCTTTACAGGGAAGGTCACGAGTAGTGAGCACACTTTGAATCTTTCCTCCAAGCAATGCCGGCCCAGTGGGTAATGAACAGGCAGACAGATTGGCTGGATCTGCACACCTGATGTTCTGTTACTCTATCATCATCAAGTACCTGGCCAGCTGGCATAGGCATTTATGCATCTCCACAGAACTCAGTCTTTGGTGCTCTGGATCAATTCCACTGATGATATTCCTCCATGCAACTGTCTTAAGCAATCCACCAAAATTTCTCTTGGTCTACCTCTGCCTCTTCTACCTGTGATCTTTCTAGTCATCACAATATTCTCAAGTAACAGTTACTATATACTAACTGAGGAAGATCAGAAATTCCATTGACATTTCAAGAGTGCAATTTTATACTAAACTTACCAGGACCAAACGAATCACAAGAATTACATGCATATTCTTCTTCTCCTCCTCCTCCTCCTTCTTCTTCAGCATTCTGCAGGTTCATTGCTGCAGATATCCCATTCATTTCTGTCAGCTGTCTTCTCTTACCAGTTAGCGACTCCAAGTATTTATCTCTACACCAAAGTCTTAGTCTGCCTCATAGTCTACTTCCAGTCATCACTTTTCTGTACATAGTGTTTATCTCTCTGTTAACTGCTGTTTCTTCTAAATGGCTCAGCCATTGCAATCTGTTAGCACTCAAGATAACAGTAACTAGTTAGTATGTTATAGTTGGTATACCAGGGTGGTGCTTGGTGTAATCATTAGAGGTGCTCTAATAATTAGGGCTGGACCGAATATTCGCTTCGTATTCGCTTCGGGGCCGAATAGTAGACCTAATAACTATTCGGTATTTGGCCGAATAGTGGCGGTCGGGCCGAATACGAATAGTGATTTCTGCATACACTGTAATGGACTGAAATAACTCTCTCATTAACACAATAGTTGCCGTTGCCTAAGTTTGTCCACCACCTTCTCCAGACTGAGTCGGCCGTGGTTTTGGCCTGCCGACTCGTTTTAGGCATTACAGCAGAGGTTCTCAAACTGGGTGCGTAAGCCAGGGGTGCCGCGACGTAAATCAAGAAAAGTCAGCTATAAATTGTGACATTATTAAAGAAGGCAAGAAGATACTTAAAAGTTGAAATTCAAATTGTCTTTCCTCGCCATTGTAAAAAAAAAAAAAAATTCTTTTTCTCTCATGTTTCACATTCAAAGTTTATTATACTGCATAAAATGCCAACCGCAGCGTGCTAACTATTGTCTTTGTGTTTTTCTCTACATGCGACCGATTCTCCATCTGTATTCGTGAAGGTGCAGCAGATAAGTAAGCACATTTATTTAAAGGCAATGTGTTTTTTTTTTTCTTGTGTGAGTGTGTGTCTGTGTGTGTGTGAAAAAAAAGAGAGAGAGAAAGAGAGAGAGAGAGAGATCATGTATTTTTTCGTTCTTTCAGAGTGTCTTTGCCCAAATCAGATTTGAAGATATTCCTAACAAGAATTTGAAGGTGCGTTTTGCGTTTAAATTACGTCGAACGAACGGCTGAGCGAACGATGATTTATATGCGAATTTGGCATATGCATAACATCCGATGGAAGATGCATTACTGAAATAAGAAACAGAAAAGGACAGGCAAAAACTGCATTTTATAAAATGAAGAACATCTTATGCAATGTATCTTTGTCATTGAATGTTAGACAAAGAATTCTTGCTTGCTGCATACATCCAATTTTAACACATGGTTGTGTCCTGGACAATCGTCAGGCAAGCTAAACAATTTCTTGAGGTCTCAGAAATATGGTTTTATACAACAATGCTTAAAATAACTTGGACAGCCAAAAAAAAAAAAAAAAGCAACCAAGAGGTTTTGAAAGAGGCGGGAGCCCGAAGACAACTTATCACAGACATCAGAAGGAGACAGTCATCATTTTTCAGCCATGTTATGAGAAGAGGGAAAATGGAACATGTGATGACAACTGGAAAAATATGTGGATGGAGAGATAAAGAAAGACAGCGAGAGAAGATTCTTGACAGTCTTGTTGCATAGTTTAGAGGGGTGTCAGCACATGAACTGATACATGCTGCAGGAGATCGCAGATTGTGGCGAGGTAAAATCGCCAACGCCAGTCGGAAAGGCACCTGATGATGATGATACACTATTCGTATTCGGCCGAATAGTTGGACCCACTATTCGTATTCGGCCAAATAGTGAAAATCACTATTCGGTACAGCCCTACTAATAATTGTAACTCGAATGTGTATATTATTAAAATTAATATTTACAGAAAATAAATGTTCACTACTCCTTTACATACCATTCAACCAATCATTTCTGACTCGAAGAGTCCTAACATATCCTGCCTCAAGAGTTCCATCTGGCAGATAAACAAATGGTCGAACAATAATAGGGTCTGATTTGATGAAGTCTGTAACTGATCCAGCAAACAGGGCAGGAATGTTGCCAGGTGCTCCATTTTCTATAATTTTTTAAAGAAACAAGATAACACTAGATAACCAAAGCCTATTAACATATTTCAATATTACACTGGCATAGACACAAGCACATTATGAAGCTAGTAGTTAGTTATCTGTATAAATTAACAAACACTGTATTCAGTATGTGTAAAAACCATTTAAAACTTAGCTTTTCACTCAGATGTTCAAGAATGATACAATCACAAATTTAAAAAATGGGTTTATTTCTTTTTAAAATGCTAATTTTATAGTGGATATGGTCATTGTGGAAGCCAGGTTTCCATATTATGCTCTAACCAAATGTAAAAAGTTACAAAAAACATTAGGCCATGGCTGACAATAACTTAGGACAGAAAGAATTAAACAACATTTCATTTGGAGACAAGCATTGTACTTTGCACAGTCTTAACACTGCAGCTGGAGATAATTATTTGTGACAAGTCTTGAAATAGCAGACTGAGATAAAAGATTTATACTGCATTTTGGCTAAATATCAATCCATCAATAAGGATCATCATCCTGACCTGCCAATCAACTCTTCATCCCTTCACCCCCTTTCCCTAATTCCCCTGCTTCTTGCATTATTATGTTTATGGTATCTTCAATGTTCTGTGTCAACTTTTGCTCTAGACGATCTGTCTTTGTTTAAGAAACCATGTTTTCAGATCCTTTCTTTCTTTCTTCTTCTTCTTCTTCTTCTTCTGCTGCTTCTTCTTTTCTATGTGTAACATTTTGAAGAGGCATCTGGTGTGAGCCATGGTGTGTACTGCATGATTACTGGTATTCATAGCCTCAGATATTCCATGCAGGGCTCTCTGCTGTGCACTATCTTGTGGTAGTCTTGACACAAGTCCGAACCATTTTATATGTTATCTCTTGATGCAGTTTAGCACAGGTTTTCTTGTTTCCTGATATCATCATTTCTGATCCTGTCTCTTTGCGTTACATTTGGAATTAGTCACAGATATTTCATTTCAATTCCTCTTCCTCTTTTGTTCGCTTGAAATAGATTAACTATATGTGCAATGTTGTCTCTAGTATGAACTTCACTGTCTTTTGTAATTCACTCAGCGACCAGTAAAGTTTGGCTTGTACCGTGCTGCTGCTGCTGCTGCTGCTGCTGCTGCTGCTGCTGCTGCTGACTGCTGCTGCTGCTGCTGCTGCTGCTGCTGCTTCTTCTGCTTCTGCTGCTGCTGCTGCTGCTGCTGCTGTTTTTCTTGGCTTTCCCCTTCTTCTTTCTTCTTGGTCCAAAAAAGTTTGCCTTGATATATTGTATTTTGGACAGTCTTGGAGGATGTGACTGGCTGTCTCAGGTGTCAGTACACATGAGCACATGGCTGATTCGCCGATTTTAGAGTTTGTGTACATGTGGCTGTGAAGTCGATTGTGTATTTCAGTTTTTACTTTTGTTGTCCATATTCACCTTTGTCACTAGTAACACAATGCTGGTATCAATTATTACATTTTTTTTTTAAATATTAGTGACATCTGCTTCATTAAATTCATATTCTATCGGAGCTTCTGTTTTTCTATTAGATAGTATGCTGCCTAGATATTTGAAGTTTCTTGCTTGTATGAGTTGTCAATTTTCTATGCATGTCTTGATTGGTTGTTCTGTTCTTGCAATGGTCATAACTTCTGTTGCTTTGTTCAATGTTAATTTTCATGTTTAGTTGGGGTCCTTGCCCAAAAAAGACAGCAAGTGTCACCTGGCTATTGTAGCTATTATAGATATCCTAATTAAAACTTTTTAAGAGACTGAACAGGGTATCTGGGATCTGCATTGTTGGTCTTCCTTCCAGATTAGGATCTTGTAAGAAGTCAGTAGTTTTCTTCTTCTTGCTCAAAGGTATTCTATGAATGTTTCTGAAACCTTTCTCACTCACTTGTAACCAAGAGGGAAAAAATTCCAAAGACCAATAATTTTAGAAATTTGTTTTCTCCTGAAACAATATTCCTTAACAAAAAAGCTACCAATTTAAACAGATGGATGGTGTTTTATCGCTGTCGGGAAGACACACGACCATTTGCCGGTGTCGAAACTCCATCTGTCGAAGACTATACCACCACCGCCGCCGCCGAGAGTATCTCCCGCGTCACACGTAGCGCCGCAGAGCTAAACTAGATGGCTGGGACTCACGAGCAGCAGCTACCCCATCTCCTGCAGCTTCCTCCATTTTATTTGCTTGTGAGTCCCAGCCATCTAGTTTAGCCCCCCTTCACACCGCGCGTAGTGGGGGATGCTCTTGGTGGTGGTGGTATAGCTGCCGGAAATAGGTCTGCAATTTACATGTGACTGAGGCCCTGTTAGGGTATATTTTCGGCATCGATTATTTGGGACCATTATTGGGAGGATAACCAAAAACACAATTTACATTTTAATTTTTTTTTAATTTCCTAAAATAAAAATAAAATAAACAAGTCAAGTAGGGATTGATCGCAGCAACTTTCATTTATAAGGCGGATATAATATCAACTAGTCTACATATTCACATGACAAAAATTATTTAAAAACCAGTATTTTACACCGGGTTATGGAGCATCAACAAGCAGTCGACTGGGCACCAACAGACAGATATATGAAACACCAAAAAACACTAGAAGAGAAATGACAGCAACAGCACACTTGCACCCCTTGAAATAGTGGACTGTCCAGTCAGCTGTGGAATTCCCACGGATTCCCTCTGTTTGGGGTACATAAAAAATATTGTACCCCGCCCTGTTAAGGTATTAAGCTGGCTTAAACCTGGTTTTACGCCTTTTGTTTCAAGTTCCAATGATAACTTTTCATACCTAAAAACTGTGACTTAATCATTTTTAAATAGTCACTGATCATAACAGAAATAGTTGTAGAAATAAGTCTGGGACAGAAAGAGTTGAAAGTAAGAATAAACTAAACACTCCTTAGAGTTGCATTATGGACTACTACTCACCAACAAGAACAACGGTTGTGTTATCATTAGGATCATATGGGCAAATTCCAATACCATTTAGGTCGTCCTTGACAACAGAAAATTTATCAGCCTCCAACTGTGGAATTTAAAAAAAAAAAAATGAGTTTCAACAAAAATATAAATTAAATACTAAAAATGCATCTGTATGACATCTGTTGAGCCATCAAACAATAGCAAAAATTACACGCAAAAGATATGTATCCCCCTCAGTAGAACATTTTATAACTTATAATAAATCCATTACATTTTAGTTACTTCAAGTTTCTAAATGATTCTTAAAATGAAAATATTTTTTTAAGTACTTAGTACCCATTTTAGGTTGGGCTGACCTGGAAGCCAAGGTTAAAAAAAAAATGTTTAAACTGACTTGATGAGGATTCAAACCCAAGATCTTCAGGATGGCAGGTGAGCTATGGCTCCCAATAAAAATATTGTCTCCTCTAAAAGTGATGTTGAAAACAGGACTGATAAAAGCAGTCAAGCTGATATCAAGAAACAAATTAACACAACACAAACTATGACTATAAAACTCAAAAACGGAAAAAAACCAGTTATGTATAATTATAACTAGAAGTTTCAAAAGGTCATTGTATTTTATTTCACTTCCTTTTCCTGTTTTATTTTACATCAGCTCTTCATGTTATTAGTTTTTGCAAAAGCTCTTCCTGTTTTTGGTTTTCTGCATTTTCATTCCATGTGATTCAAGTCCGTGTGTTGTGTTGTATGATTCCTGTTACATTCGTTTAAAAGAACTTTCATGGAAATATCTGGTTGTTTTTGTGTGCTTATTTTATTCTGCCTATGAAGCATCAGCATTAACATTCATTTTAATCTAATTTCTTCTTCTTAGAATTCAGCGGCTCTAAACTTCAGCAGAAAGTCCTGGATGTTCATCCAGTTCTGGATCTTGGTCTTGTTCCAGAGCTAAATTGTTGCCTGCATATCCATTTTACAGATCTGGCTTTTTTGTGTGTATGCAGACTGTTGTTTCCTCACCTCTTAAAGCAGATGTACTCTGACTTTGAAGAAAATATCCCTAATTAGTCTACTTTTATGGCATGCTTGTTGGGGGCAGGGAGGGGGGGAACAAAGGGGCTATTCTCCCCCATCCTCCCCCATAATAGAGCCTTGGAACCCAGACAGTGAGAATAGCAGCGATCGCATCCCTCTTCTAGTTCCGGTCGCTCTATTTAAAAAATGGAGCTAAGTAATGTAAAGTAAATATCCCTTTTTACGCCTTAGGTGCATTGGGCATTTGGGAAAAGCACCCATATTTTTACAGACCAATCGGCACTCGGTGGGTAATGTGGTCAGCACTACACACGCAAAATACAGAGCTAGTACCATTTAACTAATACGACTAAAAGACATGGAAACAGGTCCTTTGCCTAACTTTAGTGTCAGTGGTGGGTGATGTACCTTAAAGTCATTCCACTATCTAACATAACCATCAGCAAGGTAATCAAGAATATTAATGCAAACGTGATGAAGATGGTACTTACTTTCAGCTGATATGCTATTGGATTGTAAGCACCAGTTGCACACATGTAGAACATGCCTGGCACTGTTGAGTTCCTGACCAAGAAACGGATGTGATTCTGGCAGTCAGGATTCTAGATTATGGAGGAAAACCAGCAGCTGTTTACCATCGTTATTACTGAATCTGTTTAACATTATGGCAGTTATTATATTTTTCCTACCAAGAAAATCTGGTTTTACTAATTCAAGATTTTTGCAAGTAAGTTTTTCCTTTTTTTTTTTAATGCCTCAGAAAGTGTTATTCTTGGTGAGTCAGAAATACTGCTACATGTTCCAGTGTGCTTCAGAAAGATATGAGTGACCATCCAAAGAGTTGCAGATACTGCTGTGCTGCTAAAACTCAGCAGTTAGAGGTAATTAAGTTACCCTGCATTGTTATGTATCATTAAAAGAACTGCCTTTTCAGTGGCCTCATTTCCATAGCCACAATATTGTCATGTGCAGTAGCATCGACCACATAAAATTATACAGCACACTGGCAACTATGAACCTCTTTTAACTACAGTGAAAAGGTGAAAAATGCAACAGTATGGACATGCAACAAGATGGAACAGCCTCTCAAAAACAATACTGCAGGGTTCAGTTGAGGGCAAGAGGAGAAGAGACAGACCAAGAAAGATGTGGTTACAGACCCTGACTGACTGGACAAGCCTCAGGCATGCAACCATGAAGTCCATCGCAACTGACCACCAAAGGTGGAGAGAGCTGATCAGACAGTCAAGAGAAACTGGTGACCCCACGAAACGTAGTGTTACAAGATGATGATGATGATGATGACGATGATGACTGTTGTCTGGGCAGTAATGTGGAAACCACGTGTTGTCCATGCAGCCTGATTCTTTGCTGGGCCTGCCTTGTTTACTCTAAAGGAAAGGTAACACAAATATGTCCGGAATATAGCATGCTGCAGAAGCTACCAAATCAGAAGAGCAATGTCATGTCTGTCAAAACTTCCCTAATAGACAAGCTGCCAACCAAGGCTAAAGGACAGATCTTTCCTGTTACACAATATAGGTTTTTAGGTTGCATTTCTTTTTCCTAGAATAAGGGACACCCCCCCCCCCCCTTTTCCCCCCCAATGCACTCCACTTGAAACCACTGGCACAATGTGGGATATTTGGTTTGGTATACTCCACTCAACATTTGGCATTAACATGCAACAGGCAGTACCGACTACTGGTAGACAGTGGCTCAGTCATATGTGACCAAGTCAACAACAACAACAAAAAACCTGTATTGCCAGCTATAGTTATATCGTAGAGCAGTCCTATCTGACCAAGTTAACAGAGAACACTTAGCATCGACCACTGTTATACAGTAGCACAGTCATATATGATCAAGACCTGATTGAATAATGTTATTAAAAAAGTACAATCAAACCTGCAAACACATTTTGTGACCTTTCATGTGCTAAACAATTCAGAGAAAGAGACTCAGAAATGGAATAGCTTACCTCCAGTTTGCCATTAATCTTACACATGTAAACATTGCGACTTGCTGGCTTGAAGTCCTGCTTCAGTCTCTGTGGACAGCATACAAAAATGTCAATCTAAATAAATAGTAAGACTAGTTAGCTTCCCAATACCATAATCATGCATGACAAATAAATGCTCTGGCGAGAAAGTCTTCATCAGCATATACATCATATATGTGCAATAAATCTATAGACCGTAACACAACAAAACGTTACTGTAATGCTGGTAATGATTTCCAGTGTGAAAGAATGAAGAAAAATGTGCATTGGAAAACAAACTCAACTGGCTAACTCTTCTGATACCAGTCTGTGAATACTTTACCTGTTTTTACCACAAACATTTCCAGCTAATATTTGAATTCAGTAAAAATAATCACACAATTAGAGACAGACTGCTGGTGTTGGAAACTCTGGCACCCGCCATAGGCATTTAATGCATTGTGCTGTTGGATTTTGCCGAAGCTGCTGTCTGACTTTGGAAGTAATGGGAATTTTGTGTGATCTTAACTGGCACAGGAATGGAGCAATTATGGGAAGGCATGTTTGCTGTGAAATTAAAACACAAAATAATAAACTTACAACCCCAAGGAGTCAAACTAATAACATTGATATAATGAATTAATCTAACAATTATTTGCAATAAATGAGAGATGTAAATGTGTACTGTCTTCAGACTGTATAATGAGTGCAGGATGAGCTGTGTGACATCAAAAAAGTTTGAAAAATGAGACAATTTAGAAAAAAAAAAGTAGTATTTTAATGAAGAGAGAGTAGAAAAGGGTTAACATCTGACTCCCCGGTATGCGTTCTGAGGTCCCATTGTGTGGGAAAACAAGAATATACCCACTGCCTCCCTAACAAGCATGTCATATACAAATTTATTAATTAGGGGAATTCGAAGTGCATTTGCCCGAGAGGCAAGGAACCAACAGTCAGTACATAATTAGGCCAGATCTGTAAAACAGGTGCTCAATCAAAACTCTGGTCCCTGAACAAATCCAAAGACTAGAAATCGATGAGCAACCAGCACTTCATGCCAGGGTTTCCTCTGTAAAATGCACATAAACAAGCAATATCTGACAATCATAAATCTTCTGCTGTGCTCGCTCTGTGGCACCAACCTGAGAAAAAAAGTGTTCGGTAATGTTGAATATCATCTTCTGATGCTAACGGAGTTCATGCATTGAGAATTTTTGGACTCAGTAGAACAGACCACTTAGGGGTTACTACCCATGGCCATGATGTTGATCTGTCATCTAAATCTAAATGGCATCTAACATCTTGAAAAAAAAAAAAAAATTTCTTTCTTTTCCTTCAAAGATCTCCTTTTAAGATGAATTGGTCACAATCAAAACTGGGTGATTTACTTCTCCTGAGCACGTTCCTTCCAAGATAATGTGATTAATGCAGCTAGGGTTAAACTTGCTGCCTGTTAACAATTTTGCCAAGGCATTGGCTTAAAAAATCTAAAAATCTGTGGGAGTTTTTGGCCATCTGACAAGAATGCCTTGGTAACTGACTGCTACAGAGAGCCAGGCTGCAGAAATGTAACAAACACAAAGCAAATGATAAAACCATACACAACACAAGATGGAACAAAGGCATCAATTATTACCTTAAAGAAACGGAGATCAACTTAGACAGTACATTGATTTGATTTGATTTGATTAAAGAACCGACATCACAGCACCCGGGGCATTCCCACAAGCGCTCCGTCTCCATCTACAGCAGCCAGCGAAGAATTCCGATACTAATGGTGCCAGTAGCTTTCTGATTAAATGTCCGTCTTGCCTTTCCTCTGAGCCTTGAGCTTCTGCCAGAACCTCTCGTCACCCCCAACTGCATCAATCTTACCAAACTGTGGTGATCCATCTGCTCCTCCGCATTGTACACGCTCTCCCACAAGGCACTAACCCTGTCTGCCCTATCATGTATCAGTATTCCACCAAGTTGTGCAGAGCCAGCCAGTCTGTCCGCCTGTTCATTTCCCAACACACTGGCGTGACCCGGTAACAGTACATCAAAAAGAGCACCCAGACATAATCAACTAGAAGAGTTTACTAACTTAACTCTTTGAGTCCCAGGGGGTTTAGCATCACAGACCCAGGGGTTTTAAATAAAGTCATAAAATCGGCGCATCATGCGTTCATTGGGCTTCGAGGTGGAAAGCCATGAACGTATGATGCGTTCCTTGGGACTTAAAGAGTTAAGTATATGCAAAAGAACAACCTCTCAGTTGTAACCAGTTATTTATAGAATCAAGTTGAACAATTACATTTTTTTTAAGCAGTACAGAGAATATTTCCCAAGAATGATCAATTATATGTTCTATGATGCCTGGATCTTGATACAGTTGTAGAACATACAAGAAAGTAATTCTTAGACATTTGAAAACATGGCTGGACAATCGCTAACAACAACAGTTATAAAACAAAGAATATGGCAGTATAGTGGGCCCATCATGAGATGAAATGGGTAATAAAAAAATTTAAAAAATCACAAAACGGTCCCTGAAATTGGAAGCAAATGATCGAGCAAGCAAACATTTTAGAGAAACCTTATATAAACGTTGATCAGAGAGACTAGTCCTGCTAGAATAGATTCCCTACACGATATTGAACATTTTGCAGACGAAAGTATAAGATAGTGGAAATGACTGAGGCTCTGTGTAGCATGTAGACTGCACAATAGGATGATGATGATGATAAATTCTCACATAAATTTAATACAAGTGAACAAGATATTTCAAACAGTGTGTACAACTGTCTCAGCTTACCTTAGACTTGTTCTCTATATTTGTCAGAGAGAGTCCATAAATTCTATTCCTGCAAGAAAAATATAAGAAAAGGGTTAATGATTTTGAAGAGTCTCTGTTTTGAGTATTATTCTTTACTACGTACTTTTTAAAACAACGTTTTCCTGTAATGAATTTAAATAATGCGGACACAAACAATACATTGCACAATTTATTGCCATGTATATTTTGCTGTATCTCGTCAGGTGCATTACTACAGTCAACATGAAGAAGCACAAAGTACATACTCTTTCTTTTGCTAGAAACCATACGTCGCTCATCATCTTCATCTGTGAGCTTGGGTGTGAGAGAGAGATGGGGAAACAGTACAGGTGCAATAAATCGTACAAATATTTGTTCCTATGCTTTAATACGTACTTGATATGTGATACGAAAAAAGAAAAGGCACCCTTTATTTGCTTGGAAGAACACTGGGTATATGGTGCTAGTCCATGGCTTTTTCTAGAACAAAATAAAAGGTGCTGGTCCTGACCACAATGTCTATTAAAGAAGTGCTGAAAAAAAAATTACGTTAAAGGTCCAAAAAAAAAATTATGCCCAAATAGGGTATCAGTACTGCTACAGACCAAACATCACTACTGAACAATGTGGTCACTATTACATCCTCCACATCACATTTCCTAGAGCTCCTAGTACCTATTTTAGGCTCGGCTGACCTGGCATCCTTGATCTTCTTCTTCTTCTTCTTCACGTTCAGCAGCTGAACACTCTGGCAGAAT